TTATCAACTAAATATTGTTGTTTTAAAGGATTAGTATATACCTATAATTAAGATATTTTTATGTAACTATAATTAAGGGATTTATGTATTTATCTATTCTATCTTTTTTTTCCTGATTAGTTAGAGTGCCACGTGTCAAAAATGATTTTGTACTGAAAATGGCTTTTGGCGGGAAACTTTTCATTGTGGTGGTGATACATGTCCTTTTTGTTTGCTGCTTTAATTAAGTACTATAGATATGAAGAAAATAAATTGAGAGAAAAGAAACTAGAATAAACTTTGAAGACTACATTAATTGTTATTGACTTGATTACAAAATAAAGAGTAGATACCATATTTATAGGCATGTTTACACTATTGGATAAAAACTACTCTTAATAATAAAAACTATTTTTGATAATTAATAAATTAAGTCTATTACAGTAATCTCTATCACTAAAATAGATTCCAACTCCACCACTCTTGATGATTATCTTTAATATCCTCCCTTAAACTGAGTCAGGTTGGAGACTCAGTTTGTTTTGATTGCGTTGACAACTTTCTCATCCTTCAGAACAGGAGTAGTAAAAAACTTGTTGACCACCATCAACCCTTTGTCGACTTGCTTGAAATTTTTGTTGATTTGTTAACTTGTGGTATGAAAAGTCAAAACTCTTTTTTTTAAGAGAAGATGAATTTTGCTATATTGGAAATTTTTGTTGATGTTAGTTTATTGTATGATAAGTCAAAATTATTTTTTTTTAGAGAATCCGACTTTTGTCATAATGGGAATTTTGTAGAGTAACTCAGAGATGTCTTTCCTCTTTGTCTGAAATTTGTGGATCAATTCAAGTTGATTTATGAAAGAAAAAAATAAAAAATAAATAAAATTTTTTTGTTCAATGGATTGATTTTTGATAGAATTGTGGGGATTGTGGACATTTTTGGGAGAATCAAATTGGTGTATAGGATTAGTAGCGGAAAAGGAAGACAAAATAGTGATTTAAGATGAATTTGGTGTTTCCACATGACACAACTGCTATATTATGAATGAATATGATCAAGAAATCAAGTGTTTTTTTTAAAGAAAAAATAGTGAGTGGAAGCAGGAAACCATGATTTTTTTTATGGTAAGAAAAAAAAGCAGAAGTAGTAAAGAACCTACTCTGATACCAAGAGAAAATTGAAATCTAAAGAAAATAAATCGAGAGAAAAGAAACTAGAATAAACTTTGAAGACTACATTGTTATTGATTTGATTACAAAATAAGAGTAAATACTATATTTATCTACATGTCTACACTATTGGATAAAAATTACTCTTAATAATAAAAATTATTTTTGATAATTAATAAATTAAGACTATTACAATAATCTTTATCACTAAAATAGATTCCAACTCTATCACTCTTGATAATTATCTTGAATAATATATACGTTGAACAAACGTTTAAAACAAAGAGCCTCAACTTTTAGAGAAAGAACATAATATAATACCCAACTGATCTATAACACGAAGTTAAAATCTTTATCTTATGATGTAAGATCGGTTCTATCAATTTACAAGGTTTAACTCTTTTATCATATATTGAAGTAACAATTATGGGTTTCCACAATAAATTGATGATGGAAAGATGTAATGCAATATAGGCTGTTATATGTTGAAAAATTCTTGAACAAGAAAAAACATACATCATTTAATAATTTTAACGAATCAAACATGCATAATGTTTTTTTTTTTTTTTTTGGGGGTGATAACTAAGAAAGAAAATCATGGAAGAAGCAGCTGATTTTAATCAGATATGTACTTTTGTATGGTTCAAAAACTAAGTGGCCTTTTCATGGATGCACGTTTGCTAGTTTTGAGGGCACCTTGTTTCTTTGCACTTCTAATTCATATGTGAAGTGTACACAAAGCATGTGACCATCCCGTTATGTCAACCAAATTATTGGCCCCCGACCCCCAACTATGAATTTAACGTAAATTTGTATCGTTTTACCTCATATTCTCTTTGTCTCAAAATAATTTATACTAAATTTTAAAATTTATATTAAAAAAATAAAAATATAAAAACTTAATATGGAATATTTTTTAAAAACACAGACAATACAGTATATAATTATGATTGAGATAAAATTCTAACTTTGTAGTTTGTTTAGCTCGTGAATTGCGTGACATTTTTGTTTCTCCTCATTTGATCATGATGAATATGTGTTTTCTTTTATTTTAAGGAAGAAACATTACGTTACCGCTTACTGATACATATTTATAGTATATTATAAAGGAAAAATTAAAGAGAAAAATTGGTTGAGCCTTCTTAGAGTGCTACATAAGATAATGTGGCGTTATTTCATGAATCCAAAAAGAAAAAAGTTTTCTGTATTATCAAAAAAAGCCCTCGTAATTTTAATTAATATAAATTAAGTAAATTATAATTTTTTATTACCATATTCTCCATAAACTATAAGAGAGTTGGGATTAGGAAAATATCAACAACCAATAATTTGTCAAAAAATAAATCAACTCAAAGAGCAACAACCAACAATCATCATCCGCATTCTCAATTTGTGCGAAATGAAATTTAATTTGTTTAGCGTCGAGGTTCTTTAAGACCACTATAAATATCCAGTATGACCTCTACTTTCATCACCATCAAAGTTAAACATTCTCACAGTCTACACAATGTTTAATTTGATATGATATGCAATATTTATATTTTTGGATTTATAAGGAGTTCTTATAATTTCACATTATTATCTATACAATCACAACTCCATAACATCATTTGTGTTTGTCACATTTTTATTTTTTTTATAATCTTACTTTATTGTATTGTAATAAATCTCATATATCACACGGGTTTAACATTTAGTATAGCAAAATTTTTATCCAAACTATCTTCCAAATTCACCACATTGATAATATCCCCAATTTCACCAAAACCACGTACCGCTTAACTGTGGGAACTTCAACAGATCAAATTAAATGAATCTGCAAGTAAAAGGATTAAAAATGTCCCGAATCCAATCATTTCAGAGAATTTAAGTTGTTAGCGCATCTTCTAGCTGTCATAGATTGTGTACATAAAGCTCTATGATTTAATAAAATATATACGTACTACGGGTACTACGTACGGTGGTAGAGTTGGGAAGTAATTAAAGCTGGTTTAATTCGACATATTCGGATCGTCCTTAATTATGATGATTATTATATTAAATAGATTAACCTCCTTGCCAAGAAAATACTTTTATGTTTAGAATTATAATTTTCAGGAGTTTTCTGTAAAAAGAAACTAATATCATTAATCTTATGTATTTCTCCTCTAATTATTATTTTTTGGAGGGTTGGGGATTTTCCTCCCAAATACCCTGTTGACTTGCAGATTTAATTGTATATCTCTATTTTTCTTAAAAATGAAGCAAAGCAGACAAATTTTCTGGTGAAAAACGGCAGGAATAGGCTATATTGGATATGGGAGCAATTAACCGCCAGATTTTGTACCGACAAATTAAACAAATTCAGGAAAATGTTGTGATTCCATGTCAAGCAAAGCTCCTTGGATTCCTCAATTTATTTCATGAAGATTGAATTTTTTTTTCATTGCTAAATTTTGAAAATTGTATATATTTCTCCGTCATCCTAAAATAAGAGTGTGTTTTTGTAGACTGAAAACAACTCAATATACATTTTTTTAAAAATAATTTGGATGGTCCAAATAAGAATCGAACCCTTGATTCCCGATAATAACCATCCCTATCCTAATTCCCTAACTACTCCACCTAATCCTCCCTCCCTGGCGCAAAAAATATAATTTTTAGTATAGAATGGTATATATCCGGTACAATATTTCTTACGTTATACAATTTTTTTAACAGTTTCAAAAAACCTTAAGAAATATGTAAAAGTAGCAAGTTTTAGTGCCCCAATATCAGTTAAATCGAGTGGATGATGTCAAAACCTTAAGAAATATGTAAAAGTAGCAAGTTTTTGCGCCCAATATCAGTTAAATCGAGTGGATGATGTCAAATTAATTGGTGAAAAAGATTAAAAAAATTTTAATAAACCCCCCAAAATTAATGGTTTTTAATTTTCTATACTAAACCTATTTTCCCCTCAGTTTATTCTCTGAACATGGGCTAAGTTGGTTAATCATGGAGGCGGGAAGGATTCCTCACCAGGCACATGGACATGGAATATTTCTACAATTTAATTATCACCACTATGCATCAAGTTAACCGGTGGTCCCGTGATGATGATCACATCTCTAAGAATGCAGCATTTTTTTTTATATATATGGAATTATGGTTACATTTATGGCCAAAAGCTATTCACTGGCTAATCCGAGTTCAAGTCAATAACTGAGTTCATATAAGAAAATAGTTTGTGAAGTCAACAAAAACAAAGAGGAAAATACTCTTCTTCCCAATGTCGGAGGGAACTGCATGAGTTATAAAGGATTTGGAAAACACTGAATACTTGACCACAATCAGGAACAGAATGTGTTGAATGATGACCGTAACATTCTTTCTTGGCAGAACCGGCAATAACGTAGAATTTCTAGTGACCAAGACTTGAACAAATTGATTACTAACTGCGATCGTAACCAGCTCGAACATATATGTCCTCCTTCCAAAATTAAGCTCTTACTTATTTTGCTTAAATAATTCAAAAGATTATGATTCTTTTTTTGAGAGGAAAGAATAATAGGCAAAATAGTTTATTTGAACACATTTTCTAAAGAAAGATTGATCCACATAAATCCACAAACATAGTTTATATTGAGTTTCTATATTTAAACTAAAAATAGTATAAATTTTAAAATTCAAAAAGAATTATATGGAAGTAGTTCTGTTAATGTGTTTGACCAACACAACTCCCCAATAAGTTTGTCCCAAAAAACAATTCAGTCCAAATTATTGTACCATACCTACCATGATTTTACCTCCACTTACAACTCGCCAAAACCCTCTATAAATACCCTCCAAGTACTGCATTTTCAAAAACATCCTCCCTCCCTTTCTCTCTTACCTCTCTCTTCACTCCAACACATCACAAGAAATTATAACTTCAAAGCCAAAATGGCTACACAAATGAGGATTCTCTCATTAATCCCAGTTCTGTTCATTTTTTTCCGTTCATCGGTAGCGAAAGGCGGCGCAACGTACAATGTGCAAAGTTTTGGTGCCAGACCTAATGGCCGGAGTGATTGCACTCGTGCTTTTCTCAATGCCTGGGCTGCAGCTTGTGCTTCATCTCAGCCTTCAACAGTTTATGTTCCTCAGGGACGGTATTTAATCGGAGCAGCCGCATTCTGGGGACAAACTTGCCGGAGCCGCCATATTACACTACAAATCGACGGAACGCTAGTTGCTCCGTCGGATTACAATGTCATCGGTCATACCGGAAACTGGCTTAAGTTTGAAAGTGTGAATGGACTTTCAATAATTGGAGGAACCCTAGATGGCCAAGGGAGTGGTCTTTGGAATTGCAAGAACCATGGCCGGAATTGCCCCATCGGCGCAACGGTAAAGTGTCATTCTGCCTATACTTAACGTACATTGTTGAAAATGGGATTTCATTTCTGACACAAAACTTTTGTTTTTGTTATTTTTTGCAGTCACTGGGAATTTACAATTCCAACAATGTGATGGTGTATGGATTAAGGTCGGTAAATAGTCAACTCTTCCATATGATCGTGTATGGTTGCAGGAACGTAAACTTAATCGGAGTGACAATTTCAGCTCCGGGAAACAGTCCAAATACTGATGGAATCCATATCCAATCTTCATCCGGCGTCACCATAATGAAATCCAACATTGGAACCGGTGACGATTGCATCTCAATTGGTCCTGGTTCCTCTAATCTGAGGATTCAGGACTGCAAGTGTGGCCCTGGCCATGGAATAAGGTATCAACAATATCTTCATTATATTTTAAGTCAACTGTTGCTTAATAGTATTAAATATGTTACTAAGTAATATTCTTCTTTTCCCACAAAATAGTTCACAGTTTTTAAACAATTCACAAATTATAATATTGTTATTTTTCTGAGACCCAAGAAGTATTTTGTTTTTAGTATAACTTCAAAAACAACTTTTTTGATCCGTTAATCTATGCAGTTACTTCAACTAATTTTTTTTACTTACCCAATGGACTTCCGTTATGAGTATATATCACATGTATTTTTAGCTAACTTGTTCACTAAAACTTCAAAAACAACCATTTTATTAGTACTATATTTGATATTAATGTAATGTTCTCGGTAAATATATATGTTAATCCTCGCTTACAGATTAATCGTATTTAATCATTAGCATTTTCGTTCCCTAAACTTTTTTTTTTTTTGGTTGATTTTCAGCATTGGGAGTTTGGGATCAAATTTCAATGAACCAGGAGTCCAAAACGTTACAGTAAAATCAGTTACATTTGTGGGAACACAAAATGGTGTGAGAATAAAGACATGGGCAAAGCCTAGCAATGGATTCGTCCGAGGAGTTCTATATCAACACCTAACTATGAATGACGTCCAAAACCCTATCATCATTGACCAGAAATACTGCCCCAGTGGAGGAGGGTGCCCTAATAGTGTAAGCACATACAACAGATAAAATTTCACTTTATTATTATTTTCGTTCCAAAATAAGAATTAATATGAACTGAATGTCAGAAATAGCTTCTAAAATCGTTTTTGGTCTCATTACTTTTCTTGGATTAATTTTAGGCGGCGAGCGTTAAGATTAGTGATGTGACATACCAAGATATACATGGAACATCAGCAACACAAGTAGCAGTGAACTTTGAGTGTAGTAAGATGAACCCTTGCAAAGGCATATCACTTCAAGATGTGCAACTTAGCTTCAGAAATCAAGCCGCCGTGTCTTCCTGCGTAAATGCCGGTGGATCTTCATTCGGTCTAGTTGAGCCTACCAGCTGCTTTCGTGGAAGAAATTAATTAATTACAGACAATTTGTGCAAATAATTTAATTGATTTCAGCACAAATATAGAGGAAATTTAATCATTCTTAGCTTTAAGCTTGATTGATTTGGGGGGTTACTAGCACATAAATTATTGTAAGTAAATTTTTCTTGCTTGGTCTGTGGCTAGCTTGGATTTGACCCTTTAATTTGGTCTGCGCCTGGCCTTGCAAGCAACAAAATGGCTGGATTGATTTGGGATAGTGCAAGGAGAAAGGAGAAAGAGATTACTAAATGTAATTTTTGCATCTTCTTTTGTTTCTTTTCTTTTCTTTTTTTTTGGAATGAATTATTATGTGGTACCTTGTTGTGAGGTCACACCAAAATTTTCATTCTTCCGGAAAACATTGAGGACTTTAATTTATGATGAATATTTTGCTTTGACTTCTACATTCTCAGATATGCTCTTATTTTGATGGTATAAATTTTCATCTTTTCTAAAGAAATGTGACTTAATTTCTTTTACCTTGAAAATTCCGATTGTAAACAAATTGCCTCCAAAATTGAAGGTTAACAAAACAAAGAAATTAAACAAAAGAAAGAAATAATAATTTTCTCATCGCTATAACCTCATTGGAAAGTAGTTTCTTTTGAACATAACAGTGACTTTTAATTTGATTTACACAATGGAGAAAAAAAGAAAGATGAAAACAGCCACAGAAGTTCAAAGTTTAACTAATGCAACCAAACCCCCAAAATTAAATAGAATGATGCCAGAATTGACAGGGGATTATACATGGCTAGTTACGATCGATAATTAGGACTGTAGTCCTTAACTACTTATCGAATTAGACTTTTACGAAGCTAATTAATCTTGCTAACTCGTGTTCTAGCACCTTAATTAGTGTGCCTTTAGGCGCGATTAAGGAGTTGGAAGAGTTGTAAAATAAACCTTGGAGTCAAAATAATAATTGCTTTAAGTTAGATCCATGTTCAATGGTTTCCTAGTTTTGATCCGTATCTTTTGCATTCTTTGGGACATGAGCTAATTACGATTAGCCATGTGAATTAATTAAGCTGATGATATAACTCTTTTGTTTGGTTAAATTAATTCCATGTGATTTCTGATTCTTCATAGAAGACAAAAGAGAATATTATCAGATGGTACGACATTGTGTACCACCAAATTATACTTATGGAAGAGTAATGGCGTCCTTGTCTAAATTAACTCTGTGTCAGGTTTATTAATCATTACTAGTAGGTTTATTATTTCGGTTGAATTTTATGCTTGTGGCATATTGTCACATGGCCGTTCATAATTTGGTGTTGACCATTTTTTTCCCCTTCTAAATTTACAGATCAGAAGTGCATTTCTCCATACTGAAACTTTTGAAATACAAATCGATTGAAACTTGTAAAGGTTTTGTTGGTTGACGATATCATTTAAATTTGTGAACCAATCTTACCTAATACATGGAATAATCCTAGTAAACTACTTGGGCCTAATCCTCCTTGGGCGTAATCGATTTAAAAAATGAAAATGAATAAAAAAAAAGTTCTTTCTTGCAGAAAAACAGGTACTAGTAAGATGGGTTTAACTACATTTTAGGCCTTTCATCCAAATGAAGCCAGGACATAATACTCCCTCCGTCCCACAAAAATAATCCACATTGAGTTTTAAAATTTGTACTCAAAACAATACAAATTTCAAATCTCAATGTGAACTATTTTTGTGAGACGTGAGAAGGTACTACATTTTCCCTCTTTTGACTCTTGGTCAACTTATCAATCAGACCTTAATTATCATAAGAAATTTTGGTGTCAATAAGACCTTATTATACTACTGATGTTTTATGCAACTGAACAAAATTTGGCCAATTTGGTGCACAGATTGGCTAACACCACTACAGTTTAACGCTCAACAAACTATCAAGCTATATCATCCTAGGTTCTAGTCGATACAACAGCGCTATGCGAGATCTTCACGTTAAAATATACCCCCCAAGTCTACTAAGGAGAGAAGAACTGAACCTCAGGTACGAAACTTTGCTGAATTCAGTCAGCAGACCTACAGAAATAAGCATCACCTTCCACAACCCAATTCACTCTTTAACCAAAATCAGTGAATGCTTCTACCGTTAACTAAACGGAGAGCTAATTCAATGTTTTGGGCCAATTCAGTTGCTGCCCCAACGTAACTCTGAGGTGTTAGATTTAAGAGCGATGATTTTGCATCACTTGGTATGTCTAGACCATTAATGAATTCTCTCATGCTTTCTTGAGTCACTGATCGTCCTCTGGTAAGCTCCTTTAATTTCTCATAAGGTTCTGGAACACCATATCTTCGCATCACCTGATGACCAAAAGACGCAGCCATCCCACATACATTATACATTATCATAATATATACTTCACGATTTCAACCATGAAATGAAGTTAACAAATATATATACCGCCTAAATTCAACAACTGCGCGCCAAGACCGGAAACGTAACATAATCATGAATAAAAGAACTTCCATGCTGGATCATAGAGAATTCATAAAAGAAGAATCAGAAACCACAACTGCATGGTGATGTTTACTAATCTGAAAAGCATTCCTTCTACACTCACACCACAGTTGTATAAATTCCTATTTCTAATAAGTTAAAGGTCCCTATTTGATTTTAGATGAAGACATAAACCTAACTCAGAGACATAAGAAAGAGCGCATAACAATGATATTTAAAAATATCACTGGTCCGATTCAATTAAAAAAATTATGGCGAGCAGACTAGACTCTAGAGTATACAACATCCATAATGTTTTCAATTTAGTAAGGGAGCTTGTTGCGTGATGCTGGTTGGAGTAGGGCGATTAAGGCCTCAGAGATGAGGTCTGATATTTTATTTCTAAAATGGCTCTTTCTGTGGCTAAATTAAATCAACGAATGAGGCAAAAGGCAATCTTTACATTTCTAGCCAACAGAGCATCCAGAATTAAATCATAAAATCAACTGAGGCAACCAACTGAACTAGTTTTCTAAATAACAATTCGCATACAAAAAGAAAGAGAAAAAGAAGAAACACTTGAATGCTAGGAACAGGGGTAAACAAAACTTTCCGTCATCAAATTGCAAATGTCCTGCAAAAGCTTCCCCAAGCAACTCCAACTACTACTGTCTTACCAGTTACCAGCAATCATATATCATCAACCCATTCCTCTCAATTTACCACAATGTTAAAGAGAACCAATTTAGCATGACTGTAGAATACCCAAACACTACCCACACAGATTTAACCATGAAAAACAAAACCATTCACCAAAATTTTTATCAAATCAGTCTTTCACCAAAATTATTATCAAATCAGTCTTGAAAGAGGGTAAAGGATGATGCCTCTTAATTTTTAGTATAGAACATCTAGGCCAAAAATAAATTCAGCAATAGGAGATTTTTGAACTTGATGAGATTATTTATTTAAAAGAATAACATTCCTTATCAGATAATTGCAAAGCTAATGTACGAGTACATTAGCATATCCATATATCCCAAATTAATGAACTTGGATTTCAACTCGGACAGTTCTACTTTAAATTTAAGTTTGGCCACGATATGACCATATTTTTGAAGCATTGAGCAGAAAGAGGGGGATTCTCACAGAAGTTGATCTGATTTGACTGGTCACACATTTTATTGGAAACTACTTTTTCCTTGTACGAATACAACATGCGTCAATTCTATTGCTAAGTGGCGTCCAAAAAAATGGAAATATAAATGACAATAGCCACAACAAACATCCTAAAAAAGAAGAAAACAAGTAACGAGACCGCAGAAATTCAAGAATGAGATGAAATGGAGCACCTTTTTAATTGTAAAGTGTACTAAGAATTTAAACGTTACTCACAGTTTGTATTGGTTCAGCAAGTACTTCCCAACAAGAATTCAAATCTTCACTCAAGCGAGCTTCATTGACCTGCATCAACCGCAACAGAAACCCAAATAAGCACATAAAAACAAAGCACAAACGGATGTTAACTTGAACAAACACAATCTTCAAAGACAATTATAAGAATAAAACACAGACAACCAAAAACACAAAATATCTCATACTAATAATGTCTACTACCTTAAGTAGGCAGCAAGGAAGATATTGTACTCACTAACATCCTTAAATATCCATGGTCAAGCAAACAGTTCTTGACACAAAAACTTTTTGGAGGATGCTAAATAGCTAGCTATTGCAGGTCAAGAGTAACAAAACATCACTCAACTTCATCTTTGCTGGCATTACATGGTTCAACCATATTGTGGGAGAGGATAGGAGACAATTACTTTGAGAAATGTTCCCTAAACACCAATAGGAGTAGACACTACGTGTTTTTCCAACCAGATACTCTACCATCATGTTTGTTTAAGTTTCACGAGAAGACCGTAAGATGTACCTGAAGCTTTGCAATTCCCTGCAATGCATTCTTGTAGGCAAGAAGAGTGTGTCCTAATCCTACACCCATGTTTCTGAGAACCGTAGAATCGGTCAAATCTCTCTGCAGTAAAAGCAACAAAACACAGAAAAAAACAAGGTCATCATCAAGAAAAAGTACTATGTGCTACACTTTTAGTTTTATCTTAGAATATAAGGACCAAGAGTTGTCCAGCTTATGAGTAGATGTCAAGTTTATTCAATACCAAGCATAGATAAGAAAATCAATGTAAGGACTTGCATCAGAAATAGCAATGTGAGAATTCGACTAGCAAGACCATCAATTATCGCACAATACCTGCCACCGAGAGATAGGTAACTTCATGCTTAGATGCGATAATCCGCCATTGGCAACACCAAGATTCCCTTCACTATTTTCAAAGTCGATTGGATTGACTTTGTGGGGCATGGTTGACGACCCAATCTCACCGGCTTTAGTTAGCTGCCCAGAAAAAATCAAAGTATAAATATTTTTGAACTTTCAACTCATAAAGTACAGGAACATTTATTTGGAAGCTTACCTGTTTGAAATAACCCAAAGATATATATCCCCATATATCTCTATTAAAATCAAGCAAGATGTTGTTAAACAGGATGATAGAATGGAAAAGCTCAGCCATATAGTCATGAGGTTCAATCTGCACGACATGTACTCCAACAATCAAAACTCTGAATCAACATAACATGTGAGCAATGTAAATGTGTAACTCCTTTTAAACCATCATTAGAGCTATAAAACGAGTAAAAGCTAAGTAAATCTAACCCGGAGGAATGGTAACTAACAGATGCCAAATATACGTGTGACTACGAAACTAGTGAAACCCATGTTTTTTCAAAGTAGACAACATGCAAAATAAATGCAATGAACGTAGACAACATTAGCTAAAAGAAAATACATAGTAAACATACTTGAGGCACATAGGGATTGAAGCCAATTCCAAGAGATTTAACAAATTCCTCTGCAACTTTCGGCCAAATTATATCAGGGTACGCTACTAAATGTGCATTGTAGTTCCCAACTGCACCCGCAAACTTCCCCAAAATCTTAACTTTTGAAACATTCCACCTTAGGCTGTTTAACCTGTAGGCAAAGATGGCCATTTCCTTTCCCAAGGTTGTTGGTGATGCAGGCTGCAACATGTTTAAAGGTATTAGAATTTTTGCAACTTCTAAGCCATGTTAAAACTAAATAATAATAAATACATCAAACAGCAACCTTTGTAAGAAAATTTTAGAAAAGACCAAAAGAGAACAAGGTGCAAAGCCATTTTATATATATAACTGTTTACCTGCCCATGAGTGCGAGAAAGCATAGGAATGCTGGCATTGTCCAAAGCCATTTTAGATATTTTTGAGATCACTTCATCCATAGCTGGAAGGATGCTCCTATCCAATGCTTCCTTGAGCATTAGTGCATGAGCAAGATTATTGATGTCCTCAGAAGTGCAAGCAAAATGGAAAAATTCAAGCACCTGCAATGCAATAAATAGGACAAATGAAGAATCAAAATGATTAATTGTTCTTCATTTCATAATTTAACTCATTTCATAACTTAACTATCCTAAATAAGAAAATTTTGACTAGTTTTCCAGAGGAAGTAATGCCCCTACATTTCAGTTGAGTAGAATATATCACTTGATTCAGTCACAAAATAGATGAGAAACCCATACCTTGGCTATCTCTGGGTGTGCCTGACACTTTTTCTTCAAAAAGTATTCAACTGCTTTAACATCATGGTTAGTCACTTTCTCAATTTTCTTGACTTCCTTAGCATCATTTAAACTGAATTCATGGAATAAATTTTCCAGAAAAGTCTCAGCAGCTTTAGAGAACTTGGGGACCTCAGGGATCTCAGGAATTTGCGAAAGTTTTAACAACCACTTAACCTGGAAAGCAACAAAAAAGCTTATCAAAAAACTAAATATCCAATGACTAATAAAATGTGAAAATAGCTAAGATATTCAATATCTCACAGAAAAGAAGCCACGTTAGAAAGGGCAACATAGATGCTCCAAAACATAGGGTGTTGATTTCTAACATGATGCAAAAGCAAAACACCACCTTAACCTGGAAAACCGGAAAAAATGACACGTTCATAGTAAATAGAGACGACCAATGTTTATTTTGCAACCAACACGCACTCGGCACAAAACTTAAGACTCATAAAACGAGTAAGGTTGTTTTAACAAAAACAATTTTGACAACCAAAGACAACCAGAAAAGAAAAAAAGAAAAGAACTTTACTGCAAAACATGGCCAGACAGGCGGACTCGGAACATATTTTCCTAAACGTAGGGATAATTGCATACTCAACTAGCTTCCCTATCAAAAGAAATCCTCCAGTATTCCTGAGTAAATACAAAAGGTAACATGATTGATCTCAAGCACAACAGAAATGGAAGGAATAATTGAGTCAGATAAGTAATACCACTGAACCAAAACTCAGGAATAAATTTCATACCTCAACCAGAACCCGGTAGCGAATTAAACCATATTCACTCAAAAAAGGTACCAGCCCTTTGACCTTTTCCCAATAACGACCATCAAGCGGGCACAATGCCGTCAAGCTTGAGAGCTCCAGGTCATCAGAAAAATCTGTAGCTGCCATCTTTAACTTCACCAAACCATATAACACATTAACTACACAAACCATTAGGAGAAGAAGAAAAAGAAAAAAAAAAGTATTATTTCCTCAACTCAATCCATTTCTTTCAAGTAGAATCTGTAACCAAGAATTTCTTTCTTCTTTTTTCCCCTCTTGAAATAAAACAAAACATAACGCCTACATTCAGCGAGCAAGGTTATTTAATTTTAACAAATTGAAGTGGGACGAAAAAGATTGAAAGTTTAAACAAACTATTATATTCACGAAGTATTATCAATAAACAAAACTCGAAGTATTCAAGATACCAAATTACCGGGAAAAAAAAACGAAAACTTTCATCAGAAAAGCAAATGACTTACTTTATCAGCAACTTCAATATTATTGCTGGCTTTACATTGAAAATTCCGGCGAGCACGAACAGAAGCGTTTGCAAAAAGATTGCCGGAAAGGGGAACAGGAAGAGCTTTTGTTGGCTTATCCCGGTTGATGAAGCTGATTGCAGCCGGAGGGGGAGTCAGGAGGCGGCTGAAAGAGGAAGAGATTCTACACGACGTCGCAGCTTCGAGTTCCATTTCAGTGGTCAGCAGTGTTTAAGTGTCGGAGTGCGTCTCAGACGGCGGCGGGGATTCCTCTATTTTAGACGATACTTAACGGGTTCTGTGCGGAACCTCTTCGGTTTCGGGTATAATTAATTGTGCATAGCTCCCCTGTATTTCTTATTTATTACAATGTAACCCTCTAATAATCAGTTCAAAAATCAGTAATAATTTGATTAATCCATTAATCTACCTGATGAAGATTTAAATTTTGGTAATTAATGAATTATATTGTTTTCATTTCTTTCTTTTTAGGAAATATTGTTTTCATTTCTACTCATAAGCCACCACGTTTACATAAATGATAATTATAATAAGATCATGTATTTATTTTTGAAATGGAATTTTTATCGCCAAAACAAAAATTAGCATACAAAACAAAATGTTACTTTTATTTCCAAAATTACCCTTTTTAAAATTAGATTTAACATTCTCGCTTCTCCATCCTTATTTTCTCTACACACCTTCTCTATCTTTCAATCTACTACTTCTATTTTGACTATTATGATCTATCTCCTAATCATAAACTCACCAAGAGAGATCATGTGTTATTACTGAGAAAAAAAAACTAAATCACATCGTTTTGATAATTAGATTGTTCGCCTTTTGTAAGATTCTTGCAAATTTTTTTCTTGATAATTAGATTGTTCGCCTCTTGCAAGATTCTTGCAAATTTTTTTTCATTTTTTCTTCTTTTTGTGATGGTGATATTTAAATTGTATAATTACAGAATTGGACTTACGATGGTCGCCATCGGATAGAAAGGACCGACGACGCGGTTGTTATCATCAATTTCATTGTTTCTTAATTTTTTCCTTAAGCATTTTCTTAAAGCGAATTGAGGTTGACTTAATTTTTACTCAGATTTGAGTTATTCTGTTATCGGTTAAAGGATAGAGTTGCTACTTTGTTGATTTTTAATTAACATGCTAAATTCAACAAGAACTTATCAGGGAATTCATAAAAGTAGTTGAGAAATAATTTTGCAACCACATAAATGTGGATTGGAATGCTTCGAAACAAAAACTAAAAATAGATGAACTCCCGCATTGATATTTGTTTTTTTTCTTCTTAGTTTTTGAATTTTGGTATAAGTTGATTGGGAGAGGGAGAAAGGGGATCATGTCAGACTTGAACAGGGGCAAATTTGGAATAAAAAGAACACATTTTGTTTTGGATCCTAATTTTTGTATTGGCAATAACAACTCTTTTTTTAAATTTACGTAACACAAATTTTCAAACAATAATTACTATTAACTAGTGTCATTTGGTTTGAAGGGAGTTGATAAATTGAGAACTACTTTTTATATTGAAACCAGAATTTTGCCAAATACCTATATTATCTTTTTATAAGATTTTAATATATTTATAATATTTATCAAGTATGGACAACCAATATTTTATGACAAATCAGATTCTTTCTAAATATATATTCCACATTATTTTAAATGACAACCATTTTTTTCATACAGTAAAATCTCTTTAAATTAATATACTTAAACCTCTAAAAATTTATTAATTTATAAAATCATTAATTTATTGATAAATTAATAGATATTAATTTATTAATAAATTAATATTCTATTAATTTAAAGACCTTTTTTAATCTTATACGTAACAAAATACACAAACTTATTATTTTTATGTTAAGAAAAGTCTATTGCAGCCCTCATTATAACATTATTAGTTTTTAATAGAACAAAAATATGATAATTGTAAACATAAAAAAAATACTTAAATTAAAATCTAAGTTAATCTTTAAATTTAATTTTTTTTTTAGGTATTTATTAATTTATGAAATTATGAGACCTATATTTACATAGAAGATTCTTAAAAAATTATTATCTTATAAATTAATCAAATTTTTTCATCTTTTGTACTTGTCCGAGTTGAGACCGGAGAAAAATATTTTTTAACAGAGGTTACTAATTAATAGATGATTAATTTAGGAAGATTTTACTATATTTAATATACTTAAATTAATTAAATTAGTTATAATCCTATTAAAAAAGGTACTAAAACCCAAACAAAGAAACAGAGCAAATTCATTTGGACAAACTATTGGTTGTCCTGCCATGGTCCCTCTCATAATGTCCTGAGAATCATTTTCTCATTTATCATTTCCTTATTTTTCTCCTTTATTTTATGCTTGATATAAGAAATTTTTCACCACACTAGATGTTATACCCCCCATGATGTGCGAGGTAAATTATAATATTTTTATTTACCATTTATAAAATATAAAAAATAGTATATATCACAAGTGTAGAAATTACAATTTGTAAAATAATAAATGAAAATGTCATAATATTATACTTGAAAAAAATATGTTTTTCTATACCATAATACAGAGTTATAATTTAGTTAATTGTAATTAGATAAGAAAAAAATATTAGAACAATCCAACCATGAATCATCATCCGCAAAAATAATCTAATAGATAAAGTTAGAGAATAATTAAAGGATTTGTTATGAGATTTATAAGTTACATATATTAAAGATTTGGCTATCCTTTATATAAAATTTTATTCTTCAACCATAATTAGTGTCAGTTTGTTTTTCTTATAAAATTAGAGGACTTGTTCAAGAATTACGTGAAGAGAATTAATAAGAAAATGACACATTAAATTTTGTCATAGATTGCAGCCTAGAAGTAATTTTTAGTTTCTCTCTCGGGCTTCTCTATTAATTATATGTATATATATAGATTAGATATATTATAAAGTTTCATAATTGTATGACTCATGAAGGCACATTTGTTTTACTGTTATAGCGTAAAATATATATTAACATCGAAAATGAAATGAATAAAGGCCAAAACTTTGTATAATATGAAAAGAATAAGGTAAAATATAATGCAAATTGATATATATATATATATATATTTAAAAACTTGGATCGTGATATAATTTTGTTAGTGTAGATAATTAGAGTACATATATTTGTGGATGGTGATATAATTTTGTTAGTGTAGATACTTAGAGTACATATATTTGTGTATTTAAGTAGTTACTTTTTTACTACGTATTATTACTATTTAACATGGATTAGTCTTTGCAACTGCACAAATCTTAAGTGGTCTTATATATACACCAAGAATCGGCCAGAGATGAAATGACAATATCTTCCAAAATACAATTTTGTTAAATTCATCTAAATAACAACATAAACATGACATAATTGAATTTTGAAAACGGGTACCCATGATGATCTGTATTTCGTCCTTCCTAGCACGCAAAGGGAAAAAAAAAAAAAAAGAAGATATAAGAACCCACCTGTTATTGATAAATATTTGACGTTAGCAGCTAAAAAAAGTATGAGAGTAGACATTTGAACTTTATCAAAGACAAATATTTGGAAAAAATAAAACATGTATCAGACCAAAAAAAAAAAGACAAGATAAATAGTGTAATTTTGTAAAAGTACGAAAAAGCATCCAAAGCTGCGATGAGCATGCATGCCGTCGATGCGGAAGTGCGGAACACGATTTCGTTCTTGAAATTCAACTTTGAATATGTTATTGCCCTTCCAATCAAGAATACTCCTTGTGGTATATACATACACATAGTTGATGGCAGTGGCAGAGCCAGGAATTCATAGGTGCAAAAATTTTTGAATAAATCTTAATCTTCATTACAAGAAATTATCAAATTCGGAAAAGTAAAAAGTAAGATAAAATTTTTGAATAGGCATTTTAATCTTAATGCCTTTCTCGACTATTAATTTTTTTTCTTTTAAAAAAAATCATTACCTACCTTTTAGAATCGGAAATTAGTATTTGCATATTGTCCTTCTTCTAAAAATTTAACATCAAATGCCCTAGTACTACTAAGTTAATAGTATTGGTTACAGAGCAGGCATCACATATTGATTTATAATCACGACCCAATTTACATAAATGATAAGAAATTACCTTGACCTTGTTAATAATATTTCGAATGGATTGGGAAGCTTTTTGCCATTCCTTTTGTCTTTTTTTTGTTGGCATATGATTTAGAGTAGTATGCCAAGTTGTTGGGTCCTGGTTGTTTAGTTATTTATTTTCTTTAGATTTTTGTTTTCCATTAAAAATTCTGTAATAGGTTTTCGTATTGCATTTTCCTTATATATTTTATAGTGTTAAGAAAAAATCATATTAACGAATACATATTCATTTCGTCATCAATAGGACAATGTAGAATTAAAATTCAAATTTCATAAGTTTAAAAAATTAAAATTTTAAGCTTGGAGCTTATCGCAATTAGCTTTGGTGGAACTAAAAATGTAACTAAAAAAGGTCTCAACATAATTATTTTGGAAAAGAAAAAGAATGGCCCATTTAGAAATTGTGATTTTAGTTTTTTGTCATTTGAGTTCAATTTTTACTTACCATTGTTTGTTATTACTATAAAAAAGAAGCCCAAGTCAAGTACAATGACTATCATATTCTTCTTGGTTATTTACAACTTAAACCAAAAGAAATCATACAAAGTATAAGTACAACAAAAGTGCAACATATATTATCGATTCACAAAAAGAGTGTTTTACTTGTAATATATCATTAAAAAATAATTTGAGAGGGTGCGAAAATTGTATTATACATTTCTTTTCAATACAATTACTTAGAACTCCTAAAAAAAGTAAAAATTCGGAGGGGGTGCGGCCGCACCGGCTGGCCCCCCCTTCCCTCCGCCTCTGGTTGATGGCCTTTCTGAAGCACAATCTGCTTCCCATGTGTCAACAAAGACCTTGCTTAAGTCTGTTTTATTTCCGTCAAGACTTTTGCCCACAACATTTTTATTCGAAGTTCAGTACATTACATTTAAATTGAACACTGAAATTTGGGTGATGATGAAAAAGAAAATATGAAGAGTAAAAGAGAACATAAAGTAAAAAATTTGTTCTTGGATAACCTACATTTCCCTTCCTCTTAATTAATTTTAATTAATCAATAGTGTTTATTATGTGTCATGGTGTTTGATGGATATAATAGATACTAGTTGTTATTTTGAGGCATAGCATATAATGGTAAACGACAAGTTAATACCGTTTAGTTACGCTTTTTAACATTGCATGGGGTTTAATGATATCAAATGGTGT